GGTGTTCGAATCTAAGTTATACAAATGAGTCACAAAATACATGCGTTTCACCAACTTGTCACCCGATCCAAAATACTGGGGTGGAATTTTGACCAATTAAGTAATTCCGTAGCAAACAGCAAAATCGGCTGTTCACAGGTAGAAGATATCATGTTTGCGTATGGTATGAAACTGAAAGAAGAAAGGTATGTGTTCTCTGACTTCTTATTGTCATTCAATGTTTGTGCAATAGCACACCTGGCCTGATCCTTGATCTTGTCTTGTTTATAGTCTTGTGCACAGTTGGATACTTGATTTGTCAGATGCAAGAGTACAGGGTCTTTTTACAAAAGAGGAATGGAAGGAAATCAGAACATACAATGTGCCGAAAATGCCAAAGTTTCCAAAGGAATTAGCCAAACACATGGTTTCATATGAAATTGTAAATATCATCTATTTTCATATTGCAGCATGAGGGCCTGACATATTTCACATTGTATTCTTGTTCTTGATCTTTTTGAAGGATGATGTAGAAGCTCTTTGAAACAAATTGTTACAATCTTGGTTGGATCCAGATGTTAAGTATGATCTAGATCCTGAAAACATGGTCTCTTTCAGTATATTCATGCAGTTTATGAACAGCTGTAAGTTCCAAAAATCTTAGTGATGTTTTTTGGTTTTAGGTATGAGGGTGGCTTTAATTAAGTAATCTTAATTTAACAGATGCACATGGTATGAACAAAAGCCTTCTCCTCTCAATGAGCTGCATCTAGAAAATTGGTATAACATCAATCTATGGTCCATGATTCTTGATTGCTGCTTTGAACATCTGGGAGTTGTTGTGTATTAGGTGAGAATTGTATTTCTGCCAGGCTTTCTTTTTTTAAGTAAAAGTAGTTGATAGATTACATCTCTCTACTTAGAGGAGAATCATGTTCCATTGCAAGCTCTGAAAGGAATAATGAAAGACAAACTTTGAGCATAAGAAAAAAAATGTGTCATTGAGGTGATGGAGTATTTCGTGAGCGCAATGGAAGAAATGAATTTGGAGCAATTGAGGCTGCCAAGGAAAGGCCTCAACTAAGTGGCTGCAGGAGTCATTTAAAACTCTGATGGTGATGCATGACATGCTGGTACAACTAGCAGGTGCAGTTAATAATGACCCTGGCAGCGTGAGGCAGCGAACTATTGGGTGGTTGCATTTTGGTACGTGTCATCTTTTTGTATCATTGAGTGTAATGAGTGCCAACAGTTTCATAACTTACTGTAACCTACTGTCTGCTCTAAAGGTCTGTATGTGCAAATGCTAGAAATGGATTGCACGAATGGTTATGTTGTCTCTTCCGTCGAAAATTGCATCATGTGGGTCAAGGATTGAACTGGGATGGCATTGCTGCAACATTGGCCCTTTTGACAGCTGTCTTACAATCTGCGGTAGTTTGATTTTTACTGAGCATACTATTATTTTGTAAATCATTAAAGGGATTAGTGGGTATAACATAATTATGTTATACCCACTTAGTCTAGGTTATACCCCTCCGTTAGGTTATACTCACTTAGTCACGTGATTTTAGGTTATCCCCACTCATTGTGACGACGAGTTTGCATTTGCATCGTCATTTGCCGAGGATGTCAACTGAGGTGTTAGCTGAAAAAGTAAACAGTTGTGGAGTGACGATGTGTTTGCATTTGCGTCGTTATTCGAGTGACGACGAGTTTGTGGTTACATCGTCATTTACCTGTGTAACCGTCGAGGAAGTTAGCTGAGGGTGTTAGTTGGAAAAGTCAGCCGCTACGTAGAGTTTCGACGAGTTTGCGATTACGTCGTCGTGATAGGAGTTGACAAGTTAGCCTACGGCGTTAGCCAGCAGAGACGAAAAAAAAAATCGTTTATTTGTTAAGCGTACGGCTAAGTGACGACGAGTTTGCGATTGCGGCGTCATTGCAGGGGTTGTCTTGTGGAGTTAGCCTACAGCGCGTTAACCCGAGTTTGTGATCGCATCGTCATTTGTTCGTGTAACCATCGAGGAAGTTAGCTGAGGGTGTTAGCAGGAAAATTCAAGTGACGATGAGTTTACATTTGTGTCGTCATTGCAGGAGTTGTTGGCTTGCAAGTTAGCCTACGGTGTTAGCCAGCGGAGACCAAAAAAAAGTTTATTTTTTCCGCGTGATAATGAGTTTGTGATTGCACCGTTGTTGCAGGAGTTGGCTTGCAAGTTAGCCTACGGCGTTGGCCAGCAGAAACGTTTATTTATCCACACAACAATGGGTTTGTGATTGCATCGTCATTTGCAGGAGATTTTTCTGTAATTATGCATTCAAATGAATTTATGGAGAACCAAATAGTTTATGTATTTTGTTCATAATTTTAGACCGATCAAAAATGTATTGCCATTCTCTTTTCCCATCCATTATTCGCACTTGAATCCGACTAATGCCGATTTCTGATAATTTTTTTTCCGAGAGCAGTATTATGCAACGGTTTTTTATTATTAATTTTACACCAAGTGAGATACTCGTGATATAACTTTGCGCAAGTTGATCTGGAAACATTCTCAGACCATAGTGAAATATACCCAATTATAAATTGAAATGATTTGGGTAAACCAGAGATAAACGTTGGTTGATATCATTTATTTCTTCATCGGCTGTATAGTATTCTTCATCGGAGCTTAGATGCGAAAGCATCCTCGTAGTGCGAGTCTCACACCGTTCTTGATGTCTCATCTTAATCATATTTTTTATGCCTTCAATTAAGGTCAAAATATGCGGACATGTTTGTCACCGTGAAAAAGATCTGTCTTCATGAAAAAAATTTCATAGAGACGTTTCACGGTGACACTTTTTTGACGATTTAAGCTTCTTTTCGAGCCTTTTCGATAAATTTTAGGCGATTTAAGGCGTTATCTTCCTTTTTTGGTTATTTTTTTACATTTGTCACTATTGTCACTATCAAAAAGTCAATTTCTAGGAAAAATTATTTTTTCTTGTCAAAATCTAACCGATAATATACATTTTCCAGAAGAGATAAATTTGTGTGCAATGTAAAGAAAAAAGAAAAAAAAAAGTAAAGAAGTTCGGATTTTTATAGTGACTCACGGTGACACGGTGACAGTTGCCCAGAAACGCTTCTAAGCTTCTAAAACATAAAGAAATTAGCCTAGAAAGCTCTAGAAACCTAAAAAAATGGTTCACTTCGTCACTATGAAATTTTTTTGTCACCATGAAAATGATAGTGACGAATTTGTACGCATAATGTTTGCGCATACCTATAATAAAATGAATATTACAACGTACTGCGTGCGTTCTCTTTTGCTGTGGTGTTACACTCAGATACGTTCTGGGTGATTTTTGATAGTTTTTTTCGTTGATAATAATCTTTAAATCGATACTTACCAGAATGCTCTCTACATGCACAAAATACAGAGAACGTCAACTTACCACATTCTTTACAAGGTACACGTGTGGGAGCTTTCCAATGGATTTTACATCCTTCAGAACGATAACAACCTTTATTGCAAATTTCGCCAGTCCGTAGAATATAAGGACAACAATAGAATCCCATATCGCTTTATAGTTTACTATTTTTTTTTGTGGTACCACTAGCGCAGTCGCTCTGTGTCTAACCAATATTATTTCAAAAGAATATTTAATTTTTTTTTATTTGAACTTTTATCTAACCGATAATATACTTTCAAAAAATCTTGAGTGCACTTACAATGGATACCCAAAACACTACCGAAATGCATGCTTCTTGTGTGACCTCTGAGCTTGGCGGTGATTGCGCCGCCTTCTACCACCGGGGGTATAAAGCCGAGGACGTGGCCGAATATAATTATAAAATTCGCGATGACAGTGTGCATCCAAGAGAATTTCTTGGTACAGATACCGAAGACGGAATAGAGGCCATACTATCAGATCGTGGGGGGCATTCGTTACACGAATTTATCAGCGGGTATGACCCACTTCGCCCATTTATCGATTTCGATTTACCACAAGAGACATTAAATAAGATCGATCCTAAACTTACTCGTGAACAGGTATATAATATCATTTGCAATACCTTTAAAGAAGTGTGCCTAGAGATATATGCAGAATGGGATGAAAGCACGTTAACTAGTGCTGAAAGTAGCGATTTGGAGAAAATGTCTCTTCATATTTCGACTTTCGGAATGCGTCTTAGTAATATTGCTAAAGTCGCATCATTTACCGAACTTGTCCGTAAAAAACTCCCAATAAGTTTACAGAGTAAAAATATCGTTGATAACATTGCGGCTAAGAGCTCATTTTCTTTACGAATACTCGAAACTCCGAAATTTATTAAAGAGACTGGTAAACATGTACGTATAAAGAAACCACTGTATCCGAAGGATAGAGATGTCTTCGATTTTATGCTTCGTGTTCCTAATGATGATTCCCCAGTCGTAGATAGCCCGATTTTGAATCTCCCAGAAGAGACATCAAAAAAATATAAAAGCGATACTGGGACTATTGAAAATGGAGTAGAATACATAGAAAAATTACTCAGAGTGGTAAATATCGAAGGGTTTAATGTTTTATACCCAACGCCTGTATCTCAAAATATTTTCACTTTGAGACGTATATCTCCTTCCCAGTGCCCATTATGTAAACGGGAACACGAAAATGACAATGCATATGTGATTCGGAATAAAAAGACGTATCGCTATTATTGTCATCGCGCAGATCAAGAGACACCTAAAGGTGCCAAAAAACCTTCGTTAAAACTTGTCATTAATGAAACTGTTGAAAATCAAGAAAAAGCTCTCCCAACCCCAGAAAAGTTAAAGCGCCCCAGAATTTCGGATCCAAATGACCGTTTTGTATGGGGAGACTTAATTGATATGTGTACTTCCAACCAAAGTTATACACGAAATGCGGTATATGAAGCAATTCAAGCAACGGTTGCATGCGTCCAAACAACGTCGAGATTATGGCTACTTAAGATGGAAAGTTCAGATAACGGCCTTTTCTTCGATATGGCACCCAAAATAGATCTTGCCAAATTCGAAATTAATATAATCGAGCTTGGAGGGGATCCAGTTAAATTAAAATCATTAATAGATCAGGCGGTTACCAAAGGTTTGATTCTTTATCGTAAAATCGATTTCTTACCATACTCACCAAACACTCCATTACCAAATACTAAGTTCTTTAATCTCTTTCTAGGATTCAAAGCCCAACCGGCAAAAGAGATTAATCCTGCTATTATGGAACCAATTTTATGGCATACGAAAAATATAATTTCCGATGGAAATGAAGAGCTTAATAAATATTTCTGGCACTGGATGGGATACTTAGTGCGGCAACCATCTAAAAAGCCTGGAACAATTCCGGTATTGCGTTCTTTACCAGGCTGTGGGAAAAATATCTTAATCGATTTTATAGGTAAACGAGTTTTAGGATCTGAACTTTTCTACGAATCCTCTGATCTCGGAAAAATATTAGGACGATTTAATAGCTGTATTCAGGCTCGTAAATTAATCGTCATGAATGAAACGGGAATGAGTAGTGGGGATTGGCATA